GGTGTGTTTCACTCATTAACAACGAAACACAGAGCAACAAGAACGTTGGGGGAGGGGGGGGGTTGCGGTGCGGTGCCCCCACAAATACAATCAAATTCTGTGGGAAACACTGCTGTGATGTTATAAAAACCTCTGTGATCAAATACCAGCACAGTCGCTGTGAGTGTTCATTGCTCAAACCTATAAATCATTCGTGTAGAATAGAATCAACTTGATCAGAGCATCCCTAATGCAATGTATTCACAGCATGTCCTCAAACAGGCAGGTAAAGAAAGATAAAACACTTACTCACATAATCCTTTAATCAATGCCTGTTTCTGTCCCTTAGGTGGAAGAGAATGTGCAGAATCACATGACCTACTCTCTTCAGGATATGGGTGGAGATGCCAACTGGCAGCTGGTAATAGAAGAAGGAGAGATGAAGGTGAGTGGAGAGCACCTAAGCTGCCCATCAATCATTTCCCTTTCGTTTCTCGCTGTGAATATTTTAGACTATTCACTTTTCAGACGAGGCTCTGTGGTTGCAAGGGGAAGCACCGAGAACACCCGTATAAGCTAGGAGAGGAAGAAGAGCTATTAAAATATTTAAATGGGCCCAGATTGGCCTTTTTGGGGGTTTTCCTTTCCTTTAGTGTGTTGCATATTTACAGGCAGTAGGAGGAAAACAAAGAGCTTTGTGAACGTTAAAGCATGTAAACATGTCAGAGTAGAGGCACAAATATAAATCTCAGAATGAGCTCTAAAATAAAAATATACATGCCACAACGGATAATCCAATAAATCCATGCAATAAGAACTAAGTACTGTAGGAGCCATGAAAGAATTCACAAAGCGGTATTTCTTTCTAATATTTCTCAGTGTTGTTATATTAGCATCTAGCGTCACACTTTATGTCAAAATGTGTTTCTTTAAAGGTGACCTATCATGCAAAATGCACTTTTGTACGTCTTTGATACATGAACATGTGTCCCAGGTGTTCCAGGGAACTCACCAAGTGTCAGAAAACACAACCCTCTCTATTTTCCTCCATACCCAAATCTCTTAAAAAGGGGCTGCAACGGATCTGATACAGACTGATCCAGATTTGAACACTTCTATGACGTCACAGAAGTGGCGCTACGNTAGGATGAGCGCCAACGGTCAAAAATGTTTTTCCCCTCCCAGAGCTACCAGCACTGCGCCCCCCAGATCTAGGCGACCACCTATGCCAAAAATCCGCCCTGCCAGTACATACAGTGGCAATGTCTCAAGATTTAGCAAAAATACACCTTTATTGAAAATACAGTAACACAAATACTACAAATTCACATAACAAACAATCAAAAATGAAAAAGGGTCACCAATTATTATTATTTTAATAATTTTTTTTTTTTTTTTTTTAAAGTTAAAGTTTTTCGGGTACCTGGCTGGGGCCCCTTAGCAGCGGCGCGCATATTTCAGCAGCGGCGCTGCACCGCCACTATTTGTATATAGGGGAAACACTGCAGGGGAGTCTTTGTGAATCTGTAACCTTCAATCGTTGAACTTCAGCTGACTACCTCATTCAACATAACAAACAGAAAATGTGCAAACAACAAACAAGGTTGCATTCAGCACACCGAATAGCTTTTCCTGAAAATAGGCAGCTCTTTTGAAAGAGAAGAAGTCAGTTCAAGATGTCCTTGTCACAAAAAGTAAACCAGTTGAATTCGAATCTTATTCAGCGTAGTCACAAAACAGTTGCAAAACTTCTTTCATATTGAATTGAATCAGCAATGCAGGACGAGTATTGAATAGGAACATGTGAATTAATAATAGGGAAAGCGCTGTTGAGCAAAAAGAAAAGGCAGACACAGACAAAATGTACTGTGAGTAGAAAAATAATTTTACACATTTACAACTGTTCATTTCAGCAATTCTAGGGCCGTATTTTCTCTGAGTCCTCAGTTATGATTAGGCGGAATCAGATAAAGCATTGACATCACATGGAAAAACAACCTTTTTCCTCTGCTCTCTGAAAGCATGAAGCCAATTGCGTATGACAAATTGAGAGCATTTTTGCAATGCCCTTTGCCAAGCTTGTGCAAAATTTGTTTCCCTGCCTCTTTCTCCTGTCTCCCTCCCGTGGACACCTAATTCTCACATTTCCTGCATGCCTCGCAAACACAAAGGAAGGAGTGACATTTATTGGGCCTGGTTTATTTGTATTCCGTCTCTTCCCTCACTACATGTCGGGTTTTATGAGCTCACTCAGGCGAAACATTAAAGAAGCTCATTCTTTATTAATCCTCACAATGACAATTCAAAGCTTTCGACACACCGACTTCACAGTGTGGGCTTGCACTTTCTACTAAAAATCAGGTTACAGTCATTATTTTTTAAACATCCCTTGTTGTTGGTGTTTGTCAAGTTTTGCCCCATACAGGCTTTTCATTGTGTTAAACAAAACAAACAAGTAAGTAGGATTACTGTAGATAAAGAGTTGAGGTGAGTATTTTACACGGGAAGAAAGTGATAACCTTGCTCCTTATAATGTTGCATAAGAGTCTGCACTCAGCTGGTGGGTGACTTGACCTTGTAATGTCGGTACTCTATATCATCTTGTTTGCCTCATGTTTATACAAATGTATAAACATAGAATTAATTAAAACAGCAGACGGACCAAGGCTAAAGATTTGTACGCCTTTTTAACAGCATTTTATTTCAAGACCACTTTAGTCACTTTGCATCTTGCAGCTGCTCTGGGCTCAGTATCAAAGTTCAACATCTGTGCCAACCCTGAGCAGCGATAAGCAAACACAGACATTAGAGAACAGATGTGCTCGTGGGAAACATGGACTGAGTTGTCTGACATGCATTCGATTAGACTGAATGAGGCTATATTCAGATAAATACAAGACTTGATGTTTTACTTTTGGATTCAATGATGTTTCAAATCAAGACAGTAATAAGAGTTAATGTTGCAGGGAATGAGAGTCTGAAATAGTTTAATCTGATGGCCTTTTCCCTTAGCCCTGTTTTCTTACTGCAGGGTCTTTCTACACTTTCAAACAAACCTGCAGTGTTAGAGCTGGAATAGAGAAGTGGTTGTATCATTGGCTGATGACTGAAGAATTTAAGGAAATTAGGACTGAGGCTACACTTGGCCTAAATTAGTGGTGAGGGAAAATGATGGCTGAGGAACAACAGAAGTGTTGTCAATTCTTCTTTTTATTAATAACTCGAGATGAGGGAGCCAGAAATTCTTTGTCTAATAAAGATCCAATGTTATACTTGACTAAGTTACTGACAGCATGTAATATACAAAGCAAACATTTATCAATCATGTTTGATTATTTTGGCAAAATTAGAGAATACAGAAAAGGCTTTCAACAATGTAAAACAGCATCATCGCAGAGGATCAATCGTCATGAGATGTGTGATTCATACTGAAAAGGTAGTAGGGGCAACACAAGACAGATGAAAGGTTCTTAGATTGGAAACATGAATGGTTTTGGAAAAGAGTTGTGAGGATGAGAGAACCGAAAAAAGGAAAAACCAAACACTCTCTCTTCATGGAAAAAGAAACAAGTAGAAAGGGAACTTATGCAGATAACATTGAAACATCAATCATCAAAAATCTCTTAACAGTGACAATCATTCACTAACAGTTGTTACACTGTTGGTTCAAAGCCAGGGAAGACAAAGTGATAGTAGGAAAATGTTCCTAGCTGTATCAGCATTTAAAACCCATTCAGGAAAGTTTCTCGCATAAGCTCATGTTGTCAATAACTCTACTTTTAATGTTTCAATAAAGTTGAGTGATAATTCAATGCACCCAGAGGGAGGTGGGGGAGGGGTTTGGGTAGCCCCTACCTTAAGACATAATGATGGATTATGACCAAACCAGACTGCACACGGAATTGCACAATCAGCTAAATGTAAGCCGGAGGCGGAGATTTTCATAAATATGTATGGCATCTTACATATTGTTAAGAGCTTGCAGTGAATTACAGATCAGCATTATCAATTCAGAAATATAGAATACGGCCAAGGTACATTTCAAAAGCGGCTTACTTCATGAGATATATATGACAAAAGAGAAGAAGAACTTTAAGTGCCTCACTTGACTTTCAGGTGCATACAGAATGAGTTCAAGTGAGATTTTGTCCCAGTAGTTTTCACCTATCAAAGTGCATTTTAAAGAATCTTCCTCTAAGTAGACTTTATTACACCATGAAAAGAAACTTGAAGAAGAAAGTTTGAAAAGTCCAGACTTGATGGGGGGCATGGGGCAAGAACTCAGAAACAATATCTGCAGCAGCCCTTCCTACAATCTCAGTTTCAGTTTCTGAAGCAATCACGGGCCAGCAGAGCAAAACCGCACCGCAATTAAGCTGTCTGTGATTTTTAATTAAAACTAAGAGGCGTGATCCGTCTAAAACTTTGTTTGCCTTTCAGGCAACACAAGTTATCATCTTTGTAATGGATACGATTATAATGCTGTATGAAAAATGATCACATTACTATTCCTAATTTCAAATAATAAAGGGCAGGCAGAAAGTGACAATATAAGTTCCTTTTTCCTTCCTTGCAGTTTGCCGCCCAAACGTTGTTACAATTAGGACAATAATTCATAAACATGAATAATTCAAAGGCATAAGCATTTCCAGCTGTACCCAGTAGGCACAATCAATAGGCCGTCTGATGCCTTTACCAAGGCAAAGTCCATTACAAGTTCTAATGCATCGGAGTAGCTTCTGAACCAAAAAGCAATTTAATGTTGATAACTCCGGGGAGTGCACAGAGGAACTTGAGGAAGACAAATAAACAAGAGCAGCGAGCGCATACAGCCCTGAGGGATACAGGCCTTTACTGTGCAAAACTGTTGGGTTGGACTTTTTATTGACAACCTGTACATCAAAACTTAAAGAGCCCATGTCATGCTTTTCCGGTTATTCAGAATCAGAATACCTTTATTACTCCCACAGAGAGGACATTTGCAACCCGTCCCCTTGTGTGTCAAAAACCCTCAAAGTACACCCTGTAGCGAGTAAAACTCTAACACAGAAAATACCTGTCTATGCTGCCCAGAACGCCTCATTGGAGATTTCTCATTTTCCATTGTTTGCTTCCTGGGTTCTGTGACGTGTGAACACCCAAATCAACAACAAATGACCGGGTTGGCCCAAATGGACCAATCCGCGGAGCACCTCACACACCAGGATCCCTTGGCTGGTGAACGCTGGTAATAGACGAGTTGGGATCGCGGAGAAATGCTCTCCGGAGACCCATTCTCACAGCGTTATAAACCTTTTTCTTACTCAATATCAAGCCACACTTATTGTTTTTACTTCGGCTGTGAGTGTTTGTGTGTAATCAGGATGAGTTTCGCTGTGTCTCGCTGACCCGGAAACCGGTCCGCTCCTCGCAGCAGCGAGCCTCGCAACGTCCCGACCAATCCAAGCACACTGGGCCCACAGGGAGGGGNGATTTGAACACTTCTATGACGTCACAGAAGTGGCGCTACGGCTATTGGGCCAACTCCACCAATCAGGAGGAGACAGCCACGGACATTGCCGTTGGAAAGCGCTGGAGACGCTGTAGTACATATGCCAGGCCTGTAGATGGTGCTGTTCTCACAGAATCAGCCCATGCAAAGACAGTGTTAAATTGAGCAAAATGAGGAACGGCTAAAATGCATGATCTGTTTGGTATTTTGAAAAATAAAAAGTATAAATATGCCTTATATAGGTATGGTCCTACACTATATTATTCAAATATAGCATGATAGGTCCACTTTAAATCACTACAAGAACAAAATATATATAAATTCAGTTATCCCTCAATGGTAAAACAGTGAGGTTGCAAAAAAGGGTCATGGATGAATTGATTTGTCTTAATTAATGTAATAATTGTATTGTTTTCTGTCACAGGTGTACAGGAGGGAAGTGGAGGAGAACGGTATCGTGCTGGATCCTCTCAAAGCCACGCATTCAGTGAAGGGCGTGACGGGACACGAGGTCTGCCACTACTTCTGGGACACGGCGGTCCGAATGGACTGGGAGAGTAAGTTCACTCAGAAGTCACCGTCATATCAACACCGTTTGACTTTCTCTGTTTGAAACTCAACAACTGACTGATCTCTGCTTCCTTCAGCCACTATTGAAAACTTCAACGTTGTGGAAACGCTCTCTGATAACGCCGTCATTGTTTACCAGACGCACAAGGTACATTCCCGGTGGTTTTGAAAGCATGGTGCACATCAGTGATGTTCTGTAGCTCTGACTGAACGCCTCTTGTTGTGTTTCAGAGAGTGTGGCCGGCCTCTCAGAGAGACGTGCTCTATCTGTCAGCCATCAGGAAGATCCTGTCGACCAATGAGAACGACCCCGACACGTGGCTGGTGTGCAACTTCTCTGTGGACCACAACGATGCCCAGGTAAGATTACCTCATCGACACCTGTCAATATCATGCAGTAGAGCGAGGGCGATGTGTCAGGGTTCAAAGTGCTGTGAAAATTATACATTTGGTTCATTTAAGCATATAATCACAATAACCTTTAACCCCCAGGCCCTCTGTCAGATAGCTAGAGTGAGACTTGTGGCAGCTTGGAGTTTGTTTTCATTTTGCATTTTTGTTTTACTTCCAGCCCACAAACCGGTGCGTTCGTGCCAAAATCAATGTTGCTATGATCTGCCAAACGCTGGTCAGCCCACCAGAGGGGGATAAAGAGATCAGCAGAGACAACATCCTTTGTAAGATCACCTACGTTGCCAATGGTGAGTGTCTCTCCAGCCCATTAAGGTATAGATCTGTGTTTATAGATCTGCAGCCTACAGAACAAAGCACCTCCATCAGCATCAATCTAATAATGTACCTACAAGCGCCTCAAGATTAACTACAAACTAGTGTGAGTACCAGAAGGAAGAGTTTTAGCTGAGGCCTGACCCCTAATACATTTGGGTCAAAATGACATTTCTTGGGTGAAGATTGATGTTACTGTATTATGTAGTTTAAACTGTACACACAACATCTATTGCACGTCTGCCTGTTTGATTCGTTTAATTTGTGGGAGTCTTTACTTTTTCACTGCAAAGGCCAAAGGACAGATGTTGGATGTCGTATAGATTAGAAAAAAACCCTGAGGCAAATTTATTATTTATAAATTGGGCTTTAAGATTGAAATGTGATGCAACTAAAACCCCACAAGTTATCTAAACTACCGTAATTTTCGGACTATAAGCCGCGCCTTTTCCCCCAGATTTTTACAGCTAACGGCCACCACCTTTAACTCTATGGGCTCTATGGCCGGTCCCGCGGACCCCCACCTTTAAGCGGCGGGCTCCAGCAGGAAAAGCTGGAGGCCGGGAAAA